AAGGCGAAGGTCCAGGGGTGCTAAAAAACACAGGAAGAAAAAAAGGATTTGAGAGTGAAAGATTCAAGATTACCAGCTCTGACTATGTTCATTAATTCATCCTAGAATAGAGATCTGAGTGATGCCAGTCCTGGTCACTGATTCACCTTAGTAATGATGACAGTTCTGGCCATCGGAGCAATGATTCCAATATTCCTATGAATCATTTGAACAATAATGCCCCTTTCTTAGTTCATCTTTTGGCAAATTCCATATGAAAAGCAGGGAATATTTTATGCAATATAAATATTACACAAACATTCCCTCTTATTTCCCACTGTGCACCATTTGAATGCACCATTATTCCCTCCTTGCTGGCAAGGCCATGGAAAATGCGCAGAGTGCGTGTGAGGTTTGCCTCTGTGTAACGTACCTCCTCATCCTACTCCCCATCAATTCCCCCAATCCCCATCCGAATCCCAATTCCAGTCTCAGTTCCCTTTCCAAGCTACTCCCCAGATATTGTCCAAAAAGAACAGGAAAACCTCCGCCTTCATTTCAATCTATTTTCCCCATTTGATTTGAATTAAAATAAGTTACGTGAGCAAAAGGCAGGCTGACATTTTCATTTCGGTTGTATCTGCGAGAGATGCAAACCCCTGGCCTCCTGGCCCCCCCTCCATGCAATGCAGTTGCCCCCAGGGAGATGGGCGGCGTCGAAAGGGGGGCTTCTTGCTGTGACCTAAATTCATTTAAAAATCGATCGATATTTCCCTTGCTGCATTCTCTTTCACTCTCGCTTCTCCCGCTCTCTCTCTTTCATTCTCCCTGACACGGAAAAGGCAAGAGTATATAGAGTATATACCACTATAGACTATACTCTGCTAATATATATACTATATATATTTATATTTACCCTGCTGTGTGTGTGTGTGTGAGTGCAACTGCATTGCAATTATTGTGAAATTCTACTACAACGGATACTCTACGACGGTAGCTTTCTCCTCTCTCTCTCTCTCTCTCCCTCTCGGTTCCGGTCTATGTCTACGTCTACGTTTACGTTGCACGTCCGTAATACTATATATGCTATATGCTGCATGTGGGTGGCGGAGGCGTGGTTAGGCCCATTGTGTTCGGTGGGTGGTGGGCTTCTCCTTTCTTCTTTTTTGCGGAAAAGCCAAAAACAAAACACTTTTTGATGGTGATGGCCAACAGGCAAATTTATTCTCGTCTTATTTTCTCTAGTGCGGGCTTTTGGCTTTTGTCTCCTTCCACTCGTGATACTACTTCCCTTCAGCTTTCACCAGAGATATTTTTTGAATTGATGCAACCAGGCTTGCCAAGGAATAATGTGTTTTATCTTTGTGATGTTTTTATCATTCATGGAAAATGCTGTAACTGAGAGTTGGGAATGTTGTATATGTTAAAGTTTTTTTTTGTTAGAAATATATGGGAGAAGAAATGGGTGGCCTTATTTTTCTTAATTAGGATTTTCGTTTTATAAATTAATTAATTATGCTTGATTGATGACTTGATGACTTGATTGGAATAATATTTTTCTTTGGGAATTTCCTAGAGTTTCCCGTTTATTAATATTAAAATGAAGTCCAATATGAAATTATTCAAAACATTTAAATTTCTGCCCTAAGAAAGCCAAGCTTTTCAATATTTCCAATGATTTTCTTCTTGCCTTTCATCGGGGGCAAACAATGTGCCACTTTGGCCCCCACAGAGCTGCAGCTTGGGGGATGGTTGGGGTTCCATTTCTTTTTTCTTGCGCTGTTTTTTGAATTTTTTGCAGCGTCGCTGACGCTGGCAAAACTCATTACGATGCCGCATGAGTGACATTTCCACGCTGTCAACATGACACATTTCATAGAAAGATACACACAACACACGCGGACATACATACACACACCCATCAGCCTGTACTCCTCCTGACCAGGGGGCGAACCAGAGGGGAAGGTAGCCTGTGCATAGAGAAAAAGGTTCAATAAAAATATTTTAAATTCCGTTTTTTAGGGTTTTATAAAATTAGTAATTTCTAGTCTCTTAAATTTGCTCGAGCTTTGGTATTAACATTTTTATAGAGCTCACTTGGATCAAGTTTGGTTCAAAACTTGGCCCCTTAAAAAATAAGAAATATTTTTTCAATCTGTAAAATTCATTTTATTTTCTCTCTGTATGAGAGAAGTCTTGCCCGTGGCACATGCAACCGCATTCCTTGACATGCAAGCTAACATACAGAGTGGTTTAATGCCACCCCCTCGCAGTTACTGTTGCCCTCGGGGGTGGGAGGGTCTCGAACCCCGGCAACCCCCAGCTCATCATGTGGAATTACAACGCATTTCTTCACTTTCGCATCGCTGGCTCCTAAGCAGCTTATTTTTGTTGTTATTATTGGTTCGTACGCTCTACGTAGGTCTTTGGTTTATGCGAAAATTGAATTTCCTTTTAACATAGGTCGAAGTTTCCACACCCCCACCCTACCCCCAACGATCATCCCTTGTGCGTGTCAGAATGCATCGCTGTGTTACGTCCGTCTAATGGCAACGCATGTCAACATTTGCTGAGCTTTTGTGTTTAAATATTACTAATACGACATGTTGTGTCGTGTGCCACATGACGAGGGACTCGAGGGGTGGTCCCAGCGCGCTAACACACACTCCACACACACGAACCGTCTATTATGGGCCTAATTGAATTATGTTCTGTGAATGTTGGATGATTAAAAAGAATAACAAAAAAAAAAGAGGAAAAAAGGGAAGTCAAGCTTCGCTGGAGTCGCGACCCTTCGAAATACTCTTGGGGTGAGGCATGAAAAATTATGGGAATTAGATGAGAAAATTATCAAATGTATGTCACATTAGGGAGCATAATGTAGAGGTTCTTTAAAGTCAGACTTTAACTTTAAAACTGGCATAAAAAGGTTGCCCTTTCTTTTTTACTTTTGTGGTTGTTTGTTGTAGAATATTCTTAAATTTACACAGCTTACACAGCAAAGATGGAGGGGAAAAGGCTGCACAAAAGATGTTGTTTGCTGCAGTTAAATTAAATGAAAAAGTTTACAACTTTTTTAATGAAATCATTTTATGCAGTAGAGGCATAAACAAAAAACCAGCAGCAACAATAGAGCAAAAAAGCAGAGAAAACAAAACAAAACAAAAGAAAGCTCAAAAGGAAAGCCCTGCAAGATGGGAGAAGAAAAACTTGCATGCATCTTGCACAGGCTGAAAGGGATTCTCCTTTTGCCGGCTTTGTGAGGAGAAAGAAAACTCGGGGAAAAATCAAAGGATGTGTGCCAGGCCCTATGTTTGTTCTCAACTTTTTGTAAATGAGAAATTGTGTCCTTTATTTGATTTTGACAATGGAAGGCGAAGTTTTTAAGCGTTTAACGTGTCGTATGCGTAATCTCTGGACTTGAATCGTATCGAAGCGCATTCAGCTGTGATAAAACCGAATCCGAGTCCAAGCAGAGCAGCCCCAGGCCCCTCAGAACCTCCTCCTCTTTCGACAGATTGCGTCCTTGGCCAGGATAACAAGGGTCGGGAATTCGTGTCACGGCTTTGTGTGTGTGTGTGTGTGTTTGCGCGTTTGATTCCTTCGCTTGTGTGTGTGTGTGGGTTAGAGCTAATCCAACTGTCATTTTCAGGGACGCGCAAGAGCAAATGGCTGCGGGAATTATGCCAAAAATAAACCAGAAACGGAAGGTTAACCAACAAAACACAAACAGGCTTCAAACCGTAGGGGCAAACAAGAAGCATTTAAGCTTGGACTATGGATTAATGTTGCGGGAAAATTTAAATTTAATACATGGGATACTCATTTAAGGCTAGAAAAATGCTGCAAACTGTGTTTTAATAAGATATCGATTTGGGATACAATTTCTTAAATTATGACAAGTTTTTAAAGAGTTAAATTTTGCAGATTTAAAAGTAAATAAGGTTGTTATCGCACCCAAAAAACAGGAAAAAACATTGAGGAGTGGTATAAAAATTTAAACACTGGCCCAAAAAAGACGAGAAAATATTTAAGAAGTTTCTTTAGTGTCACAAAATTAATTAATTAATTAACTAAAATCATTTAGCTAGCTCAATATTTCATAGCATTTTTTGATTTTAATAACCATTTTTAATGGATTTCAATATCATTCAAAGTTTTGATGGCAATCCTAAATTGTCTTGAGAAAAATAACTAAGTGTGCAATAATTTTGCCCAACAATCTAGACCATTCCTAAATATTTGCATTTTCTTTGTCATATGTTACATTGTCACCGAATGAAATTGCTTCTGCTTTGTGGTCACATTTTGTCTACATTTCATGCAGATCTATCCAGCCATTAATACCATCTCCCAGCATCACATTGATGATGTGGCCATAAAAATATGACGCCATAAAAGGCGCAACTTGTGTCGCTGCAGCAGCAGCCGCAGCAGGAGTCATCAAATGCCACTGGCTTGGTTGGCTTACAGGTTGTTATCGGTGATAAACCGCTTAACTACCGATAGAACGATGAAGCGACCCTCCCGCGAACTGCACTTCAAGCCAAATTAAACTGCATTCTGCAAAAAGCGCTTTGGGTTTTTTATTCTTATGATTAATGCGAATGCGGCTGCGAGCTGGAAAGCGGTGCTTCTTGAAGCGTAATCCGGTGGATTCAGCCACCAGAAATCACAGTGCCAATAAAAGCGCGAATCGGTGTTGGAGGGGCGTTCGAGAAGCGATTCGGAGGGGCGTTGACAGCGCAACAGCTGCAATAAAACATAAAATTCATGATGGCAGAGGAACAAAAATAAAAGGGAAGCGAGTCGAGCACAGGCGTTTGGGGAAGCGGAAATGCGTGCATTAAGGGCTAGAGAAAATGGCGTGCCATCCAGCGGGTTAAAAAGATGTTGGCAAGTGGGTATCTGGACCCTTTTTTATAGCTACTCCGCGTGTATTTGATAGATACATCAGATTAATTTCTGCAGATACGAAATTGATTTCACTTGCAGAAAGAGTTTAGTTTCAGTTTAGTCTCTTTTAAGGATCCATTTTTGATCAACTTTTAGTCATAAAACCACTATATATTTTGCACAGCACATAACCCCAACCTGTATTCCCAATCAAAAAGTCTAGAACTCGGTCCAGCAGTCTGGATCATCGTGCTCCCAGTCGGAGTCGGAATCGGACTCCCAACAGCAGCCTTTGTTGCAGCAATCCTCCTCATCCTCAGCTAAAGGGCACGCCGGGAGTGAGGTTGTCGCAAGTCCCGCGAAGAAGCAGCTCTGCTCGGCATCCGTGACTTCCATTTCCACTTCTCCGTACAGCCGTCGAGATCCAAAGTTTTGCAGGCGAGCTGCCCGGTTGATCAGCTGTCGCAGATGTATGTCCTGCTGCTCCTGACAGATCCTCAGACGCTTGTACTCTTCCCTGTCCTTGTACGTCTTGCACCTTTTACACCTCAACTGCGTGGCTATTGCGTTCAGATCCTGAATGGCCAAGTTCTGGTCATCGATTTCTTTGATCACCTCCAGATACTCCTTGTACATGGCCTGTTCCTCCTCGTCGTCTGGCTCGCTTTCGTCCAGGAGTTCGAAGGGATCTTTTTCCTCCTCGGATGAGGATTGCTCCTGCTCTTGCTCCTGCTCCTGCTCCTCATCTCCGTCTTCGGGCTCTGCTTCATCCTCGGCTTCGAGAGCTTCCTCAACTTCCTCTTCCTCTTCCGCGGGCTGCTGTTTTGGAAGATCCTGTTGTGGGACTATCTCCTCGAACGACATTTGATTGGGTTTAAGGGTTAAGAGTTAGACTTCCCTGGGGTTATGGATATTGTTTAACATAGTTTGAAAACCGATTTTGAGGGAAGAATCAAAGAGCTTAAAATTTTTAAAATTTTATTTCGATGTTGACGTCTTGCCCTTTTAATTATTTACTTATTTTAAAATATACAAATATATATATTTTTTGTAAAAAAAAACAAGGTAAGAAACATTTATTTTGTATCTACTAAAGCCACAACTCTTGGAATAGCTCTGAGTTAACCCCTACTAGCTGGAGTATCCTGTTGTGGGACACCACTAAATGTCATCATTTTGGCATTTCCACTCCCATTCTCCTTCTCCCATCTGTACGCCCCATTGCCAATTGGCACTTTGCACTCAAGAAAGGGCGAGAAATAATAACGGAGAGCTTGGGGGGGAATTTGGGCGGATTGGGGCCTGGATATTTGAGGGAAAACGCTGAGCAGCCCCGCGTGGCAATCCCCCATCAATTTGCTGCTCATCATCCGCACGTCTTCGACGGGCAGCTCATTGAGCAATTCATTCAATCGGCGAATTCAATAAAGTACAACTAATAAAAAGAATAAAGAAACCGACGCAATGGTTGGTAATGGAAATGATGATGGCCAGGATAAGAAACAGTGGGAGCGGGAGAGGTCGAGGTTGAGGTTGAGGAAGGAAGGAGTGACAGCGCCAGCAAAGAGAATTACAATTTTCTCGCCATTTCAGCAAGGGAAAAAAAAACTAAAGGGGAACAGTAAAGGAAAATCCCGCGCATTCTGGGCGCGTGGTGTATCTGTATCTGTGAATGTGCGGTGTTAGTGGTCCATCAAATGCTTGTAAACAAAGCCAACAAACGACAATGGGAATGACGGGAACGATGGGCCATTACATGGAACATGGAACAGAGGAACGAGAGCGACGAAGACTGGCAGGGCAGGACAGAATACAGGGTGGGGCAGGGCACACGGACGGATTGGCGGGCGAAGTGCAGTGCAATGGCAATGAGAGCAAAAACAAAACGAATATGTGCTCGCTCTGTGCCCCCAGACAGAATAAGGGGATCAAAGCAAAACGGGCAAAGACAATTACCCAAAGGGGGGCAGCGCCGGGCGACTGAAACGTAGCGAAATGAACTGAATTGAACCAAAACCAAAGCGAATAACAAAATACCAAAGGGGGGAGCCCACAAGCAGAAGCAGAAGCTTCTCTGGATGGTTTCTCTGCTCCTGTTTCTGTTGCTGCTCCTCGACTCTTGACTCTCGATTCTCACCTCTCTCCGCACTCCACTCTTCGCCAAAGTGCCACGCCCATTGTGGCGCATCATCCATGGCCAAGTGGCTTTTTGGGGCTCTCTTTTTGTGCTCTCCCCTTTTGGAACTGTCTGTCTGTCTGTGTGTGTGTAAGGGTGTGCAGTCCGGTCAACGTCAAAACAAAGTTAACTCTTCGGAGTAACCAAAACAGAAAACACCAATACTAGCCGCCAAAGGGTTATGTTTTTGGCGCGGAAAATGGCAAAAGGTTGAGGCAGTGCATACTCTAAAGATTAGGGGATACATTTCGATTAAATTTAAGATTAATATACTATTTTTCTGATACGCGTTTAAACATAGAAGTTTGCCTTCGATGCTAGTTTTGCCAATATCATAATTTCAGAAAGAAAAAATTTGAAAAAATCAAATCATGTTCAATGTGGCCTGGCCAAAATGCATCTATTCTGTGTGCCCAGACCTACAGACTACTCTATTAGTGTGTCCTAAAGCTAATGTACTTTTGCTTTAAAGAAAGGGTAAAGAAAAGGGGAACGCTTTTTGGCGCGCAAATCCACCAAGTCAAGGGAAGAACAAGCACAGGCGCTGCCTGCGAAGTCAACTGCGACTGCGACCGCGACGCCACCTTGCGTCCATTCACCCCGTTCATTATTATTTATGTGCATGTGTGGCTGTGTGTGTGTGTCTTCCCCAGACACAAAACAAACACATATAAACACTGAGCATAGAGAGCAAATTTCATTTAACTGCGCTTCGATTCGATTCCATTCCATTTTCCATTTGGTTCTGTTTTTGGACCTCTTTCGTCTTCTTCTTCTTTGTCCTCTGCCCTGCCCTGCCTTGCCCCACCCTGCCTGTCAGCCTGCAGTTTTTGTTGTTGTTATTGTTTTTGTTGTTTTGCACTGTCTGCGGCTTGGGGTTTTTTTATGCGCCTGTGCGCCTTCCCACGTTCCCAGTCCCAGTCTGCCCCATCTCTGTCGCACCCCCAAGCGCCAGCTTTCGCTGTACCGCCCGCCAAAACATGTGCAGAAAAGAGAGAGAAGAAGAAGCAGAAGCAGCCGAAGAATTCTTCGTGGATCTCTGAACTTTTTTCTTAAGGTTCATTTTATTTTTTTGTGGAGTCTGATCTAGCTGAGGCGTAATTATTGTTGTTCTTTGGCTTGTTGTTAGTCGATACACATGGCGAGTAAGACGGGGATAGAAGCGAAGAAAGAGAGAAAAAGTTCCATGTAGAATCAGAGTTCGATGCACCGCCAGAAGAAGAGTCTGAAGAATCTTCCTCAATGGCAGGAGCGACGACAAAGAGCGGGACGGCTCGCGTCTCGTGTTGATGGTTTTATATCTAACAGATGCCACATTATTATTGCGATTCTGCGATTTAGGATACGGTCAGAAGATCGGTTGGGGATATCCATGGGGGGGGGAGAGCTTCTTCTTCATGTGCTCGGTGTGCGTTCTTCCAAAGGGGGAATTCCAGACATGGATCACACTGCAAATGCATGACTAAGAAGGTTGTTAACCCATGAGCAAAGAGTCGAGTCCCTAAGATACGAGTTTGAGTGTGTGAGTTAATGAGCAAAACCAACGAGTTCAAAGTTCTCCGGCTGCGTCACCAAGTACAGTCAGTTCAAAACATGACCCTAAGGAGACTGGAATCTCTTGGGGGAAATCCTGAGCATCCTAACTATAAATATATGCTAAATGTATGTTTATAAAAGGTAAATTTAGACTACAGAGAAAACAGAGGTGAAGGTTTTAGGTACAGTCAGCAAAAATTCTTTAAGGTAAATCGAAACTACTACATATGTTAAAGAAAGGTCATTAAACCTATCATATGATATATGTTAACTTACAAGTAGGAAATAGAAGATTTTTTTAGTTGTTATCTGAAAAGTATCCTTTGTTTGTAGTTAGCATTCCCTTATGTATTCTGGCCTTGTGCAGGCATGAACTTTGACCTTTCTAAACCCTTCCTCGCAGGCCGGAATTAACCCCAAAAATGGCACTCCCTGCCATTTCGCCAGAAACGTGAATTGCGTATCGTTTGTACATGTTCGGTTCTGAGAAAAAGTTTTCTAAATTAATTTCGCATAAAAAAGTGCCAAACAAAAGCAGCAACAAGGCTTGCGCCATAAAATTTGACGGGGGAAAACGGTAATAAGGGAGGGGGTGGTGGCATGTGGTGGGCGATGCCAGACTTCCACAAAGGTCACAGTCGTAGTCATCGCAGAGCAGCAACAGCATCGTCTGAGGGTCAAAGTTCAGAGACGCGTAAATTTCTGCAGCCGCCAGCACCGGGAGTGGCCCTCTTTTTTTGTTTGGGTAATTTTGGGGCTGTCGTCTGGTGAAGAAGTGTCCCCGCTCTCGCACTTCGGACAACAAATCACTTGGAGGTGAAGTGGGTATTGGCATAGCGTCGTCGTCGTCTGCTATGTCTACGTTTACGTTTACGCACCGAAGGAAGCAGTGTGGCGGCGAGACAGCCATCGACATTCGTCCCGTTTACCGACAGCTGCAGACGTGGCATGACTCCTTCGGCTGTCCCAGGACTGTACCCCAGGATCAATTCCACCGATTCTCTGCAAATAGAGTTGAGACATGTCGGCAGTCCAGATTGGTAGTCCTTTTAGTTTTGATTAAGTTTTGTGTCCTTTATATGCATATTAACAGCTAATTCCAAGAACTAAAGCTGCTTTTTGGTGACAAACCTAGTTGGTCAGCATCACCATACGAATCGATACAGCCATGCCCATTTGTCCGTTATATCCGTTAGTCCGTGTAAAGAAAAAGGTTAACCCCATTTCTTATAATAATTTGCTCTAAATATATTAAAAGCAAGTGGTTTATATCAAGATAATCATTCAGTTTATCGCTCTGTCTGTCATCTCTAATTGTAATGTTTATATCAAGATAATCGTTCATCGCTTGTCTGCCATCTCTAATGCCGTCGTGCCCTGCCCTTCGTTAACTTTTCCTTTCTTTACAAAAGATTTTGGCTCTTTTTTTTTTTTTTTTGTCGTTGTAGATATAGCATTTTTGGTTGCGACTTGTCTGCGTCTTTGTCTTCGTCTTCGTTGCGTCGTTGCCTCCCGGCCTTCATCTTGCCCCGTGTTCATCCGTCTGTCCTTTGGTCTTTGTTTGTTTTGTCTGCTCCTGATTTGGCGGGCATATGTTGCTCCGAATGCTTCTGGGATTTCTTGGGGATTTTTTATTTATCTAAAATAGCTGGCTGGCTGTCTGGGAAGAGGGGATGGAGGATACTGCTGAATCGGGAGCAGGCTGGGTAATGTCGCTTTGATTTGTGGCAATCGCGCGCTAAACGTCGCAAATTTTTGAAGTGAAATTGCTCGAATTGTTCGACGTCGTCGTCTGCGTCTACGTCTGGCCTCCTCCTGACAATGACAATATGCGTCTGGAATCTGGATTCTGGTTTTTCTTGGGTGGTGGTCGCCCACCGCCCTACCTTTCTTCCTTTACCATCCTTCTCCACATCCGATGAGCCTCGTCCTTGTTCTTTTCTGGGCTGTAAATAAACATGTTTGGCAATATGTCGCTGCCGCAGTGCTGCTCCTGGTGAGTTTCCGAATCCTTTGTCCGACTCCCTAGCTTCCTCGATATCATTGTACTTCCTCGTTCCGTTGACTGCGAAGTCACGGACAACATCTTGAACGTTTTGAATGCAAAGTTTTTCCTGCGAAATTGAAATGAAATGAATTAAGGGGCTCGAGGCTGCTTCACTGGTTTGATTAAGGGAAGGACTTCCTAATGAGATTTTTGCATCAACGATAGATGTACCCATACTGGGTACATCATTCCTCTGTTTCAATAAGTTTCAGTATTTTTCTTTGAATGTAACGACAAGGATTAAGAACAAGAGGAGGGCCCTCAGAGCTTTTCATGGCAGCTGATGCTGGTGTTCTCTCCTGGGTTACCCTTTCCAAAATGACGGACTAATCCCGTTGACCACAAAGGACATTGAACTGTTTCCCGGCCAACATCACACACATGCCAAAATAAATAACCTCACCGCCGGCGAACAAATAAACAAACCCCAACCATTGCGATGCTTTCAACTCCACCGCCGCCGCCGCGATGATGTTGGTCCTGGACCTGGTGGCAGGTGCAAAACTACATCGAGGGCAGGTGCAATTTTCGGCAAGAGATAATAGGGATCGCCTGGCTGGGGGGCTGTGGAGAGGCGCTAACTGGTCCAACAACGGCGATTCAATCAACAACAACAACCAGCGGAGTCAGGGATCAGCCATTGTTTCTGCCCTTTTCTGGGGTAGGGCAGGACGTTAGCATTTAAATGGTTTAGTTCCATGGGAAGCCATCGAATGAGAAATGGGGGAAGAGGAGCGGTGCTTTATGGGGTTTACGGGCTTGTCGCTAAATATTTAATAACGTAACGCATCCAGCTGCCAGCAGCCGCAGGACAATGACGCCAGTCACCGGCTTACTCAACTCCTGCACAGAGAGAAATGAAGGGTAGGATTTAAGAAATCAATTTGACATTGTGGAGAGTGCTTTGATTTGATAAGCTGGAATGTTGTCTCAAGCTTTTAGGATTGAGATTTAACATTGACATTTTTCCTTTTCTCTATTTATTGTTATCAATATAGCTCCTTTTGTAATAGAAATTCATGCCTTTTTCGATTTAATTTCCCTGTGTGTAAATTTCTCATACCCTCAGTAAGAAACCCCCTCTACACCCACTTCCCTGCAGTGTGTAGTAGCCCCCTTTGCAAATACTTGAATTGTTCACTTTCGTCTGCCGCTACTTCAGTCCATGTGGTTTTCTGGTGCCCTCGTCGACGTCTGTCTGCAGCATCCATCTCCGTCTATATGGAGGTTTTTGGATGCGAGTCTCTACTGCGGGTGGAGTTTTTGGGGCATGGAGAGGCGCGCAAAATTTTACGATTTGTTTTGTTTTGTCTGTCCTCGTAAAATTTGCAATGTCAATGACGCCGGCGAGGTGCTTCTTCTTCTTCTGCCACCCGTTGCCGCAGTCGTAAAAAACCAACCCTTGGCCAAATAAATCGCACACAAAAATAAAAGCGAAACCGAACGGCGGTAGGCGTGGCACTCGCACTCGCACTGGACCTGAGCTCTGAGCTCTGAGCCCGATAGTCCGATTGCGAGTCTGAGCCGTAGATCATTGTCCTTGGCTGAGTTCATTCACACGGGCGCGCAGGAATAATGTGGAATAAGCGGAAAGGAACAACGAATTCGATTTGGGGATGAAATGGAATGGAGCAGTAAAGAGAATCATGTGGAATTGAAGTTTGGGGATGAAATAGTATAACCGAAAATTCACTTGATATTTCTGCTTGTAATGTCTATGATATAGAATAACCATATGGATATGACATTTTAAAATATGATTTTATACAGTATGGTACTTCACAAACGGTGTTGGGAACTATTGAGAATTGGGGCACGTAGAAGGGATATTGGCGAAAATACATCCTATAATGAATTTTGGTATGATTGTAAAATTATACCTCAGGATAAGATTGGATATGGTTCGGGGACAAAACGGTATGAAATGGTGTTTGAAAATAGCTATTATCGGACGGTAATCGATAAATATTTTAATAAAATCCCTATAAATCCCTTTCACATAGTTTTCATATAATTTTACGAGAAATAATCTTCAATTATAATACATATAGTTGTTATTTTGAAACACTTTCTTGTTAGTGATCTCTCTTAAACTGGCAGAGACGTTCGACGTTGGGCGATTTGTTGATGATTCAGTTTCTCGATTTTTAATATTGAAGCGACGGAACGGCTGAACAACAATGATGGAGCATGGTAGCTACCTCAACGCAACCTCGTCCTCGTCCTCATCCTCGTTCTCGTCTGCGGCCCGCATCTGTCTGGGCCTCGGTTCCGAGCGCCTGCCCTGCCCTGCCATGCTCTGTGGTCTGGACTCGGTCTCTGCTCCCTGTTCGCCCAGCTCTCTGTTTTGGTTTTGGTTTGGTCTTTGGTCTGGTGGTGTCGTCGCCGTCGTCGCTTGGTGGTGGTGGTGAAGTCGACGGGCAAAAGCAGTGCCAGTGGTGGTGGTGTAACCGACCTAGGACTTGCCATGTGGTATTGTCTGCTGCACTCGGCTTGGTTCAGTTCAGTTCGGTTCGGTTTGGTTTGGTTTGTTTTGCCTTTTCCCCCATCGAGGCATTTGGCGGGAAAACTCGCTAGCAAAACAGAACGAGCAAGAGCCCGTAGCAGGAGTGTTGAGGAGGAGGCAAGGGGCATACAAAGGCATGGTCTCGCACCCGAGGCACGAATGCAAAAAAAACCAGAACGGCAACGAACAGGGAAACAGGAACAGGCCAACAGACTCGACAGAACGTGGAAAGCCAAGTGCCCAGAGCCGAAGTCAGAGACAAACTCCCGAGTCGGAAACCCGAAGCCCCTTAAGAGTGACAGAGAGAGTGGAGGTGGAGTGGAGAAGGGCACAGAGATGGTAAATTTCTCATTGGGCCTACAGGGCTGGTGGAATTGATAGAAGCTAGTTTTTAGGGTTACCTAGGCCAAATACAATATAATCAATAGGATTCGTAGTACAATCGATTTTCTATGCTCTTAGATTAGTGCGAGGATAATAATCATTTGTTTTTGGTATTTCTATTTATTGCAAGTTTTCAAAAGCCACTCTTTGCTTGACCCCAGCTGTAGCCTCTGTGTGTAAGATGGTTGTTGTTTTTATGTTGAGCGACATGCGAACGATTCTAAACTGTGGCAACATCATTACGTGCAATAAAGCGGCCAGAGCCCGGCAGTTCTTGGGTTCCTGGGCTCTTGGGCTCTTTGGGTTCTTCGGTGTCTGGCCAGTGCGCAAGGTGAGGACCAGTCTCAGTCTCAGTCCCTCCTCTCTGCTCCCTCTCCCAGCGATTCCCCTTTCGGTTTAGGCCTACGCCAAGCTTCTGGCTCTGGTCGTAAACTGATATTGGGGTCGACGACTGCTAATTTGTGGACAGCAGGAGCAGCAGCAGCAAACTGCAAACAAAACAACAGAAAATGCGTGCCGAGCGACGCATAATGACAGAGGGGGAAAAGGCGGAAGAAGCCACATGTGGTGTACAGTTGCGGGGCGTGGCCCAACAGAAGAACACATACACACAGCACGTTGGATGATGAAATGGCAGTTGCAAAATTTGAATATTGTAATTTTAAGCGCGAAATGCTATCTCTGGAAGCTTAGTGCCTTTCTTGATCAATTCATTTGGCCATTTATGAGTTTAAAAGCCTAGAAACTAGAGCTAAATACGGTCCCGCCTACAAAGAGCATTAAAACCTGATAATTGACTTACCCAATTCAGACATTTCGCTTACCCTTCAACTAGATCACTTTCCATAAAATATTTTCTGGGAAATAATTATAAACAAAAACCAAAACCATCCCTGCCTCTCCATATTTATTTTTAATTATATTTTAATTAAAATATGTTGAGCGCCCTGGCAAAGAGCAAACAATAAAATTTGTGCGGGGAGAAGTTTTAGGCAAATGCTGATAATTTATGGGCTAAGCTAGGCCGAGCCCCCGGCCCCGCAGGCAATTACGGGAGGATGGATGGATGGCTGGATGGTGGGGGCCAAGACAAGCACAAGTAATTCGAATTGAATGAAGTGCGCGACGACTGCCTCCTTACGCACCAGGAAGTCCAAGGAGCCCTAGACAGGCTATACTGCTTGTGGGCGGAGAGGGAACCGGGACACGCACACGGACAAAAGGCGAACCCTAGTCTGGTTTTATTTTCATTTTTTGTAGGTCTTTGACTGGGTTGTACTCCACTCCGCACTCACCACGCCACTCCACTCCACTCCATTCCATGCCACTCCACTCGATGCTGATGTTGTTGGTGGTGGTTTGGTTGCTGCTCCAGGCAGTTTTGTTTTATTCTACGTTTCTTTTTTACATTTTTGCTGCTGTTGCTGCTGCTGTTGTTGCGCCTCACCGCCAGACGATACCCACAAGCTGGCAGGAGTGACGCACCAAATACAAATGAGGGAAGAAGGACCGGGACCCAAGGACTTTTCAGAAAGTGCGTCGATATTTTGTGCGTGGCCAGGAAGCGACGCACGAGCGCCTCAGCCGCCTTCTCCCTGCCTCTCTCCCTCTGTCTGTCTCAGAAGCTGAGCCGCTCAGACGCGGAGCAGGAGACGGTAGACAGGACTCAGGACTCGTTTCGGGTTTTAGCTTGGCGTTGAAAGTTTAACGAACCTTTGGCGTTTCCTGCCCAAGGACCTCGCCTCGCCCTTCTTCTACCTCTTCCCCTGAGCGTTTTATTACACTTTTTCTTTCTGTTCACCGAGCGAGAAATACAAGAAGAACTGAAGACAGGCCCCTGGCGAAAAATAGGGGAACTCCAGCGTCCAGTTTTCGGTTTCATTTATTTATTTTAATATTTTTTGTGTTTTTTTATGAGTTTTTCATTGCACATCGATACGGTTAGAATGAGGGTTAAAAGCTCGATCCAGGGTGATCCTCTAGTACTCGATCGAGTAGTCGAAGGTGCCGAAATTCTCGTACTTCTTCTCGAAGTACTTGGCGAAGGTATCCACGTAGTAGACCTTGACGTCCTTGAAATAGCCGTTGGGCACGAAGAAGGCATACTCATCGATCTGGCGGTCGAAGGGATAGCCGAAGGGCTTGGTGTCCACAAAGCGGGTGCCGGAGCCAACGCCCGAGGAGTAGGTGTAATCGAAGTTGGAGAACTGCTCGTACTCCTCGGCATAGGGCGAGACGAAGAAGTAGAACTGCATGGGGAAACCGTGCTCCCAGCCCTTGGGCAGGACCAGGCGATCGGGGAAGGCGTTGTGGGGCTCGCTGATGTCCAGAGGGAAGTCATACTTGCCTTCGTAGGCCAGCATGACGTACTTGTACAGTTCGGTGTAAGTGAGCCTGTCCTCGGCTGTCCAGGTGAACTCCTTGGAGCTGCGCTTGATGGTGTTGGTTCCGGCCACGAAGGGGAAGATGAAGCTGTCGATCTGCACAAAGTTCTTGCGGTTGTAGTCCAGAGGGATCACGCGTCCGAACTCGTCGAACTTGGGGCCCAGGAAGACACGGACGACGCCCTTTTGGGCGGTCTTGGACTCAATGGTGAAGTCGAATTCGAAGGGCTTGTGGTTGAGACGAGCCTGACGGGCCAGCAGAGCCTTGTCCCAGACGAACTGTCCGTCGACGAAGGTCATCTTATCGTTCAGCAGATTGGTCACATCGAAGTCCACGATATCGTAGTAGGTCACCAGCTTGCTCACGGTCACATCCTTGATGGTGATGCCCTCGTAGAAAAGATCCTTCTTGGTGTACGGCTGCAGGAAGTATTTGAAGTGGTAGAACACATCGGTGAACTTCTTGTAGAAGGTGTAGAAGAAGGGATCGCGCAGCATGGTCTCGAAGTTGAGGAAGATGTTGGGGAAGACCTCCATGTCGGAGTAGTCGACATCGGCGAAGTACATATGGGCCAGCATGTAGTAGTAGTTGAAGAAGTACTTGTCAAAGGTATCGGCATTGCCCTGCAGGTAGTCGCCAATGAACTTGACGGCCTCCGGCTTGTGCAGATCGATCACGTGACCGTCGGCGGTTTTGTAGAATCCGGTCTCCAGGGTCTTGTAGACGCGGCTGAAGAAGTTCTGCACCTGGGTGTACATCTCGAAGTTGCCGTAGGTGTAGAAGTCGTAGTAGTTCTTGCGGTAGCTGTAGCCGATGCCGTTGTAGTAGATCAGCTGAGGATCATAGCCGTACTCGATCTGCTTGTACCAGAAGAACTCCGGGATATCGCCGTAGCCATTGGTCAGACGCTCCTGGTAGTAACGGGCCAGGATCTGCTGCACATTGTAGATCCAGAACTCGCCGCGACGGTCCTTGTCCAAACCGAACTGCTTGCCGTTAAGGAAGAAGGCGTAGTCCATGTTGAGGTAGTACCAGTAGGCGTTCCAGCCCAGATCCTCCGTGAAGTAGGAGAGCTTGGACTCCTCGTTGAAGAATGCGATGTCACGGGTGTAGTCCACTGGCATATAGAACTTCTGGAAGCCCTTCATTGCCTCGACGTACTTGGGGTCCTTGGCGAATTCGGCGTAGTTCTCGCGCAGGAAGTACTTGTCCTCGACGTACCACTCCTGGTCCAGACCCATCATTTTGTACCACTGCCAGGTCTTCCAGTCCTTGGTGTAGAAGTAGAAGTTGCCGGTGAATTCGCTGTAGTCCTTGTAAAGGATGTCCTTATACTCCTTCTCGTACATGATGTACTTGCTGAACACCTCGTAATCGAACTTCTCGGCCTCGTAAACGAACTTGCTGTTGAAGAAGTATTGCGGGAAGATCTCGTAGATCTGGGGCAGGATCAGACCCTCGAACTCGGGCTTGTGGATCACGGCCAGAGTCAAGGCGTAGACGAACATGCCCTCGTTGACGTGCATGCGGGCCCAGGCGACGTTGCGGACGAACGTCTCCCAGTCCTTGGCGTAGTAGAAGAAGTTGAACAGACCGTAGGCCTGCTTGTGGTGGGTCTTCACCAAAGCGCCGAAGAATTCGCCCTTGGGCAGGAGGGCGCCTAGCTTGTAGGACTCCCAGAATTTCTCCATGTAGAAGTCGAAGTTCTGCGGAGAGAGAGGAAACCATTTCATGGACGAGATGTTTCAGGGTTGACCCCGCTTTGCTTACCTCGTAGTGTGGCTTCTCGATAATCAGCTTCTGGCCCAGCTTGATCCATTCCTCGAAATTGAGGGGATCCTCCACGCGGTACAGGATCTCGAAGAAGAACTTCTGCTTCTCGAGGAAGTCCTTGTCGGCGATCTTCACCTTCTGCGTGGGCACGCTGAACGCGGCCACGCAGCCCACGAGGGCCAATATCACTAGGGTCAGCTTCATCCTGGATCCTGTCTTCAGTCCTGCTCTTCCTTGATTCTTCAACTGCTCCGGCCTTGGTACGCTCAACGACCAACACCTAAAGTCTGTTGTCTTTGGTGCACTCTGCTTGGGCTTATATAGCCTGAATCAGAGGCCTTGCACTGCATCATATCAGCGTCGGACGATTCCAGAAGTCAGCATAGGTCCCGCGCATAGGTCTCGTCCCCGAAAATAGCACGAGCTTATCTTCCCTAGGCAAATGGATGCTGTCATCGTCATCCGATCAGAGCCACAGGTCGAGATAAGATAAGAGCAGGGCTTCTATGCATCGGCGTATTCCTGTTTTGGCACACGGAGACAGCGGCTTGCTGCAGTGCGATAATGCTTTTAGTGCTTTGCTTTTACGCTTTTGAACTCTCAATGCCACACTGTAATCTGCTCCAGCAGAGTTCAAGTTTACTTCTAGGTGAGGCTCTGGATTTTGCATTGCCATCCGGAACTTTGCAAAATATTCCAATGCGAAGCAATCTGCTGTATTAAGTAATTTGGAACAGATCGACCAGCGGTGACAATTGCCGTCTTGAGTGGTTTTAATATGGCAAGAACATCAGAAAAAATAAGTAAAATAGAATTACGTAATTAAAGAACTTTATTTTACAGAGTTTGGCGTACTCAAAGGAAAAACGAACTTGTATCTCTGGGAACCGAAGAAATATTGTATTAAATAATTCGAGATTCACCAATTTCTGATGAGAATATGTTAAGGCAGTAAAAATATATGGGTAGTTAGCATTTCTGTGTAGCCTGTTTTAAAACAACTAAAAATAGAGCTAGACAATTTGGTATCAGCATACATAGACCAAGTTTTTTTTTTAATTACAATTTAATTGTTAAAATAATATTAAGGTTTCCTTGCAGGGTATTATAATTTTAGAAAAAAGTGTGTTACATAGTGAAGGAGTTATTTCCGACCCTATAAATCACATATATTCTTGATCAGCACAAAAAGCTGAGTCGATCTAGCGATGTTTTAGCAGAAAACAAATTTTTAAATTTTTTCTTTTTTTTTTGAGGTCTTAAAATGGTTCAAATGTCAAAGAAGAAATTGTCAAAAATTTCAATTTCTTAAAATGTGAAATTTAGTATGCAGTTTCGTTACCCTAGAAAAAACTAGCACAGAAAAGCTTTCAGAATTGAATTTGATGCTTTTTTGGCTTAGTTTCGATATTTTTTATACAAAAAATTACCATTTAAAATATATAAAAATATTAATTTAAAGAGTGTGAATATTTTAGACCTTCCTGAAGGGTTTTATGTCTTTAGACAGCGAAGGAGTCAATTCCGACCCTATAAATCATATATATTCTTGATCAGCACAAAAAGCTGAGTCGATCTAGCCATGTTTTAGCAGAAAACAAATTTTTAAATTTTTTTTTTTATTTTTGAGGTCTTAAAATGGTTCAATTGTCAAAGAAGAAATTGGCAAAAATTTCAATTTCTTAAAATGTGAAATTTAGTATGCAGTTTCGTTACCCTAGAAAAAACTAGCACAGAAAAGCTTTCAGAATTGAATTTGATGCTTTTTTGGCTTAGATATGATATTTTGTATACAAAAAATTACCATTTAAAATATATACAAATATTAATTTAAAGAGTGTGAATATTTTAGACCTTCCTGAGGGGTTTTATGATTTTAGCCAGCGAAGGAGTCATTTCCGACCCTATAAATCATATATATTCTTGATCAGCGCAAAAAGCTGAGTCGATCTAGCCATGTTTTAGCAGAAAACAAATTTTTTAATTTTTTTTTTTATTTTTGAGGTCTTAAAATGGTTCAATTGTCAAAGAAGAAATTGGCAAAAATTTCAATTTCTTAAAATGTGAAATTTAGTATGCAGTTTCGTTACCCTAGAAAAAACTAGCACAGAAAAGCTTTCAGAATTGAATTTGATACTTTTTTGGCTTAGTTATGATAGATTTTTGATTGAATGACCGATCCTATGGCAAACAGCAAGGGTATACAAATTTGAGCCTCCCGAAGTTATTTTCCTTTCTTGTTTTATTATTCCGCCTATCTTATTTAAATAAAATTTAATATTTTTATATAAATACACTTGGTCAAAACTCTGCTTTTCTGGGGTTCATCCCCTTACAAGTCCTTTTCGTGGCCATTCCTAATCCACAAGCCGCCTTACTTGTGATGTAACAATGCTGTAGGTTGAGGTTGGGAGTGTAAATAAATTGGCGAATAATTTATGCCGTCTGTCCAGTGTCCATTATCCTGTGTCCTGCGTGCGATGGCTGGACCTTCTTCAGGTCCTGTTTCCCGCCCCGTTTCCCCTGCTGCTTAGAAATCAGCGCGCTCTGTCTGCGATCAAGGTCAATGTGCGTGTTGTGTCAGTAACCTTTGCCCAGACACGCCGCCGCCCCTTCCTCATTTACCGCTTTTGCCCCTGATTTTTATTATATTTGGGTTTGTACTTACTTTTTTTTTTTTCTTCTTCGCCCGGCAATGTCTGGCCCGAAAAGAAGGAGAAAAAAATGAGAGCGAAAAAATGGGATTCGAACAGATGTGCAAAATGCTGAAAAGTCGCCCTCTTCCCTCTGTCCTGCCGAGTGTGTGTGCTGTGTGTTGATTTTGGAGGAGCATTTGATTTGCCATAATCGCATATTAGTCGTTTGCCCAGCATTATGTATTTACTTTATGTGTCTGTGGACTACATGTGTGCCCGGGACTCCCCTTTCCCCGAATCTGTGTCTGCCGAGCCAAGTTCCTTGGGCTTGAGTTGGGAAAATCGCAAATTGAAAGCTGGCTTATCGCACAAATCAGTTATCAGATCCACCGTTTGACAGTTTCTGTTTCAGGGCTTTCTCAACATTATATAACTTTGATGTTTCATTTCGGAGAAAGGGCAAGCAGAGTGATCAAGTTGTTTTGTGGGAAAATTGTAGGAAAATTGCTGGTTAAATTAAGTTAACTGAGGCGTAAGTAATCCAAACAATTTAGAATGACAGCTTAAAAGTATTGATTGCTTGGATTAGAGTCTAAAATGGTAGAAAAGGGGAATATTAGGATTGATAGCATACATACTTAAAAAACTTGTTAAAAACCCTTTATCTAGTCTTGACCAAACTAAAAATACTACCATAAACTAGTAATTAATATTTGTAAGAAAGTTTCATGAGCTATTTGTTGCCTTCCTGTAGTTTTTCCTTTTTATTTACTATTACTACCTTCCCCCTTTACTACCATATCTCATTCTGGCTGCTATCAAAGTAAAGTTTCAACTTTTGCCTAATTACCACCAAATTCCATCCACTTACTGCCTTCACTTGCCCTGCCCTGCCTTGGCTACCCTTTTGTTTTTAGTTTGTGCTGACAAATAGTTTGAATAATTGCCTTAAACTCCTCTCCCTTACCCGCTCCATCCCGACCTAGATTGTTGCAGCCAATATATCATTCATTATCCGCCATGAAAAATTAGCAATCGCATTTTGTCTGCCATGCTCGCTTAAATGCAAAACTAAAATTAAAAAAAAAAGAAAAAGGGAGCAAAGAAAAAACATTAGAGAAAAACTGGAGAAGGAGAGAGCGAGAAAACTTTTATCAGTACCGAGACAGTCGAGGAAACATCCTTTTGGGCTGGGTGGGGGGAATGTGCAACAAGGTCCTGGACCAAGTTTTAGCAGCAGTTTTCTTTTTGGCATAGCATAAAAATTAGGTAATAATGATGGCCATAAAATATGATTTGCACACTGCGAAAGATGGCCCAGGGGGGAGTGAGAGCAGGCCCGTCTGCTTGCTAAGAAAACTTTTCCAATAAAATCAGACACACTCGGAGAGAGAGAGAGGTCAAGCCGATGCCGTCATCGATCATCATCGCCCCCGGCCAGCACAGAAACAAAAACAATAAGGCGAAAACATTCAACACTTGAGAGTGAGAAAAACTGGAAATACCCTTGTCCTGATTTCAGATTTCAGGCCATAAATAATATTTTTCAATCATTTAGCCTAGTAAATGATTCCTTAAATTATTAAAACTTCCCCTTTTTAGTTTAGTAATTAATTTAGAAATTTGTATAATAATTTTAGTGCTCAATAAAAACAAAGGGTAATGATTATTTCCCGATGAAAGCAAGATAAAATGTATGCCAAAGTTTTGTCGAAATGAATTAAAAAAGTTGCGCTGACGGTAATTAACTCAGATCTCGCTTGACACTCACAGGCAGGATCTCCTCCCGCCATTTTCTTTACCATTTTCACGACCACTTCCATTCCCTCGTTTTCCTCCTCCAAATACATACATACATACATATAGCCACCACTGAAGCTGTCCGGAAAATGATTCATAATAATTGCAATGCGGCATCGTTTCGCCCCGAAAAGCTCGAAAGTCATACATCGTCCTGTTGGCACCATAAAATTGACAAATGTGTCTGTAAACTTGGCTAATAATGCTGCGTCCGAATGGTGGCCAAGTGATGCTCCTCCTTCTCAGTTTCGTTTCCGCTGCAGCAGCATTATTTGAAGCCCCTTTATGATCTCGATGAGAGGCTTTGATAGGTCTGCTCCATCATCACCTCTTCTGATTTGCAGAATTACTTGAGAATTTTAAAGTATTTAAAACTAACCTAAAGATTTATTGGCCCCTTTGGTATCGTTTTTATTATTATTTTACAAATTGAAACCAAAGTGCAATGCACCAGAGCTTTTAATTTGAGTTAGAGGGCACTTAGAGCAGGGGTCGAGAGTTCGAGGACCCTCGAAACGAGAGGACGAATGAAAGATTTATTGTATGCGAAAAACAAGTTAATGAAAATTAGATGATGGCTTTCGATAAACGCAAAACGCTCCAATATATCAACAGCAGCAGCAGTAGCCTGGTCAGTAAACAAACTGGGGTCATTGTCATTGTCATTGCCAGATGATTAGAAGAAAGCTAAGCCGGGTCAAGGGGCGGTCGGCTAGTGGAGCCCGGAGTCTGGGCTGAGTGGCATTGAGATTTTAATGGCTTTTTGTGCGCGCTCTTCTCTTGGCCAGCCAAGAATTATGACAATGCGACGAGATATTATCGCTAATCGAGCCGTTCTGAATGGGTGGACAATGTGTGGGGACAGGACTCGGTCTTGGACTTACTTCAGAGTTCAGTTAACCGAAACCAAGTCGTCGAGAGACGTAATTTATGGCCCACAGAGGGCACACATCTTTATGGTATCTATCAAGTGAGCACTAACTCTCGGGATAATATCATATTAATATTTACGGTGAAGTGTGAAAAAAGAAAAAAAAACAAATTCGAGTGCATAAAAATAGTATGGCGTATAACTCATCTTGTTGTTATCTTAATCTTAGCTTAAACTATCATTGTGGAGAAAAGTTTTGAAACAAGTTAACTATTTCAAAGTCTTTCAAGCCTAAGAGGTTTTCCATGTATAGATCTTGCAGCTACTTAGCTGAATTATTAGGTAAAAATTTAATGGATTGGTAAAAAAAGCAATATATTAAAAGGAGAATCTAAATTCCTAAAAAGAAATCCCTTATTTATCCTGCATTTCTGAGACCTAAGCAGCCTCCCTCTAAATTTCTTCGAATTATCATCGATTCATTGACAAAAATGCCTCAACCTCCGCCGCTGATATTGATTAAGAACGACGACAAGGACGACGATGGATGGAGGTGCATTAATTCTGCTTCAGGTTTATTTGTTTTCGCTTTTCGGTTTGGAAAGAGATTACGGCACGCTTTTGAAATGACCGACGCCAGTTCAGTGGTCAGTTCCGAGAATCCCGACGA